TTGTATGTCAACTATAATTGAATATATATATATATATATATATATATATATATAGTCACGGGACATAGAGTATAGTGTGGGAGTGGAGTCAAGGGAATTGTAATAGATATGTGTGATATGGGGGGGAAGTGGGGCGGTGGATTGGGGGAGGGGTGTTGTCACTTTGAAGGGTAGAAAGTATAACTATTGCACTGTGTTGTACAGCTAAAATTTTTTAAAATGGCGAAAAAAATTGAAGTCATTTGTTATTCAGTGGATGGAACTCAGACATAAAGATGTTTCTAACAAACTACTTGCAAGTCCTTTCAGTGAATGGAATTCATACACATTCTATAGTGCATGTAGTGAAGTGTTCGACAACACTCATAATACAGTTTTTCTTATGAGGTACTTGCAAACTGCATCAGCACAATGTTCTTTCAGTAAATGGACCTCCTGAGAGGAGCGGTTGTGCCACGCCACACAGGGCCCCATGATGAAGTGCCAATTTGGTCAGGAGACAAAAGCAGGAGTCAGGGGAAAGTATGTTTCAGAGCCTGTATTGTAGTTTCCATGGAAGAAGCAGGGCAGGGCAGGGGAAGCAACTGGGACTTGCTAGTTTGAATAATGTCACCCGGCTCTAGGCTATAGAGGTGGTTTCTAGTTGTCTGCTATCTAGCCCCGTGGTGATTTAGGGCAGGGGAATATTGGCTGGGTGTGTGAGAGATAAAGGAGTGGTTGAGGGTATGGATTTGGGATTGGTTGATTTGCATATGAAAGCATGTTCACAGTTCATTATTATCTCTAGGAATGGGCATCCTCTCCCTGGCTAGCAAGCCTTCCCAAGATGTAAATTATCATAACATATAGTAAATAAAAAATATGATTAATATGCACTTGAATTGCAACATTGGCTCGTCCTGGTCTCCAGCCTGCCAGCACACCCTGCAGAGTCTGGATTGCTGGTCTCTATAATCACATGAGCCAATTCCTTAATAAAACCTATCTATATATCATCTATATCTATCATCTATCTATCTACCTATCTATTAAATTTTTTTTCTTTTCAATTACATTTAATTAAATTGACAATTACATAATTAAATTGACATTTAATATTACATTAGTTTCAGGTGTACAGCATAGTGGTTAGACATTTATATAATTTATGCAGTGATCCTCTGATAAGTGGCACCACACATAGTTATTACAATATTATTACATTATTGACTATATTTCTTATGCTATATTTCACATCCCCCTGACTATTTTGTAACTGCCATTCTGCACTTCTTAATTCCTTCACCTTTTTCACCCAACTCCTCAACACCCCTCCCATCCGGCAACAATCTATTTTTTTCTATCTAGATATCCAACTGATTCTCTGTAGAACCCTGACTAATATAGCTTATTATGTTGCTTCTACAGATGTCTGCTGAAGCCCAGTCATGAGCTATAAGAATACCCTCGCAGCAGAAACAGCTTTGAGTCTCAGATATTCTGATTATACTCAGGATTTGGCCTGGCAGATCCCTGCTCTCTTTCTATCTTTTTAATGGCTCTATGAAGATTTTTTAAAATGAATTAATCAAAACTTTCAGTTTATTTTCTTATTTTTATTTTTTTTAAAGATTTTTACTGGGGAATTGGGGGAGGAGCACAGCACTGGGGAATTGGGGGGAAGGGGAACAGACAAGTTGCTGTTGTCCTTTTGTTCTTCAGTCTAGTTGTGGAGGACGTTGCTTCACTGGCCCATGTTGGTATTATCATTGCGTTCTTCCCGGGTGAGGCAGTCACTCGCCGGCCTCTGGACAGCCGCTCACAGCGGCTCATGAAAGCTCACTCCAGCTGCCAGCCAGCCCCACTGCAGCCTACACCATCACCGGCGACTCACAACAGCCCAGTTCCAGGTCAAGCTGTTGTTCACCATCTTAGCTGTAGAGGGTGCAGTGTCACTGGCCCTCATGTGGGATCCAAACCGGGGCCCTGCTGCTCAGAGCTGGTGTCCCAAGCCAACTCCTAACCAACGCACCACTCGGCTGGCCCCTCAGTTTATTTTTTTAAGCAGGAGAGTTTATCCAAATAATCAAGACCACCTATAACAGTTACCTCCCATTTGTCCCTCCAGGGCACTCTCCACCCCTTCCCACTCCATCTGTGGCATGGAAGTGGGAAGTGGGAAGCGGGAAGGCACCAACAAGCTCCTATGCCCTCTGGTTGCAGTTGGGTTCAGCCAATGGGAAGCCTCAGCTGAAGATGTGAGGAAGGGAATAAAGTGGTCAGGGTATTGATTTCCATGAAAACGTTTTCTGTCAGTTTTCCTCAGCTAGCTATGTCCCTGGGCTGCAGGTCCCTATTCTTTTCAAGGCAGCCTTCCCTTCATGGCTCACCCTTCTCTTAGGACCTAGGGTTGGCAAAAGCTCTGTTACTGCTGCTTGTGCCAGGCTCCTGCATTGTGTCTTCTCTTTTTCTTCCACCCCAACCATACCTTGGTAATTAGTTCTTTAGTAAATAAACACTCTATAAATTATCTTGCCTAAGTGTCCAGAAGCCCATACTTTGTAATGTCCATACGAAGTAATCATTTCATTCTTCTTTCATCTGTGTTTATCCTATTATTCGCCCAATCTATTGTGCTCTTTAATTCAATGATTATATTTTACATACAGGTCTGAGAATTAAGTTCACAAACTTGTTGCAATGATGTTGCTAACCTTTTTTTATTATCAGAAGGATTATTCATTGTCAATTTGTACCAACTGGACAAACAGTTAACCAAGTTTATTATTTGGAAGTGCTGAAAAGGATGCGTGAAAAACTTAGACGAAAATTACCTGAACTTTTCACCAACAATTCATGGCTCTTGCACAATGCACCAGCTCACAAGGCACTGTCTGTGAGGGAATTTTTAGCCAGTAAACAAATAACTGTATTGGAATACCCTCCTTACTCATTTGATCTGGCCGCCAATGACTTCTTTCTTTGCCCAAAGATAAAGGAAATATTGAAAGGAAGATATTTTTATGACATTCAGGACATCAAGGGTAATACAATGACAGCTCTGATGGCCATTCCAGAAAAAGAGTTCCAAAATTGACTTGAAAAGTGGACTAGGCAATGTCATCAGTGCATAGCTTCCTAAGGGGAGTACTTCAAAGATGACCATAGTGATATTCAGCAATGAGGTATGTAGCATTTTTTCTAAGATGAGCTCTTGAACTTAATTATCAGACCTTGCATGTCATATTTTGACTTGTCTCTTTTTTGTGGTTTCTTTGTCTTGGGTATTACTGCTAAAAATATTTTCCTATATCCATAGGATATTTATTGTGTTTATTAATAATTTTTGGTCTTTCTCTTCAAAAACTCTATTTCAAATGATATATATGATGTTCAGTCTATTGTATTTCTCATGTGGCAATCATACCGCTGAGGTGTGTAGTTATTTTGGCATGTGTGCTCATATTCCCCATGGGTTAGCAGCTACTCTGCCAGTCTGTTCAGTACTGTACACTGGAGAAAGGCTGAAGTCTTGATGAGTTCAAGGAGAAGGAAGGATGACCCCAGAGCAGAAGGCTTTAGATACCAAAGAGTGATTCAAGTTCTCCACATTTCTGCCACCCCCCACCTGGCAACTCTTATGGTCCAGGCTTCAACTTTAAAGCCTTAGGAGAAATCACACTGAAAGGGTCATGTCTCCCCAGGTAGTAATATCCTTCTCCTTGGTGGAAGAAGCAGAAGGATGGAGGGCATGCACTCAAGGGTGGCAGGTGGGACCCACATACTAGTTGACACGGCCACCCTGTGATACACTGGCACCTGAGAAGGACTAGGCAGCATTTATCACAAGGATGTGGGGTGGGAAGGGGCTAGAGCAGAGCAGGGAGAAGGCCTTATTCAAACCCGTCCTCTCACTGTCCTTTCCTCTCCCCCCAGCTACAGATCACTTCAAGATAACCTCCAGTTTCTCCACATTTTTCTCATTGATTTTTGTTTTGAAATCTAAATTTTGTTCCCACTTCTCCAGCTCATCCAGGGTTGATTTTGGGGTGGAAGCCACAGCCTATTGGCAGCTCCTGACAGTGGATCTGTTGAAACCCACTACAGGGGCCACTCCAGCCTATCCCCCAGCCCAGACTTACTGCCCTGCAGATTCACTCTGCACCCTGATCTCAGTCTTGTCATGTGGGACCTTTCCTTGCCACTTACCAGAATGAATTCTGGGCCACACTTTGGACAGGTCAACTCAAGCCTCTCGAAGATAGCCTGAGAGAGGAAGTCAGACTGAGCCTGAGGCATCCAGGAATGGCCTGCATCAGAGGGAAGAATGAAGGCTTCTGAGCCCGTTCAGGGGATTTGGGTTGCAATTTCTATTCTGCCATTTGCTACCCATGTGACCTCAGGCTTCTGGTCCAGATCTGTGGAGAGATCAAACCTAGATGAAAATACTAAGCATTGGGGCTGGTTCCAGGTAATAGGAAGGTGGGCTGGAGTGCCACTGTGATTTGGCAGATCTGTAGAGTGGACAGGAAATGTATTTGCATCCACTGAGTTAGGGGCTGCCCAAGGAACTTTACGGAGGACAAGCGATCACGTCGCTCCATGTTCCACATAGAAACATGGTTGTTGATGGACAAGCAGAAGTCACCATGGGAGAGAAATCCTGAACAGCCAGTATGAGGGCTACCACAGGTTGAAGGAAAGTGGCTGTTCTAGGAACAGTGGGTTGCTGATTCTCTAAATCTGAGCTGATTCCCTCCACTCCCTGACTCAGGGCCCAGCACCCTGCTGTCAGGGAAATAATGCTTTTCTTTTCACTTCCAGACACTGCTGAGCTGGAAAGGTAATCTTTGCAGGAGGGGCAGAGGGCTTAGGGCCAAAAAAATTCTGGTGACCATGTGCATGTGACTTTACCCATTCTCACCTACTGGTGAGGGTCTGGACTATTTGGGTGAAAATATGATTGGAAATAATTTGCAGAGAACACCTGATAGCAATTTGAATGCAGTGGACCTGTAATGATGGGCTGCTCCCAGATCATCAAGGGTTCAGGTGAGAGGGCTGTGTTTTGCAAGGCCCTTGTGAGAGTTCTGCTAACTATTAAGATTCTGTGACCCAGACATGTTTGCAGGGGGAAGCTTAGGACATGGCTTATGTGTTCACTGCTGGCCCAGCAAGTACTGGGTCAGCTAAGCCTCAAGCACTGTAGGTGGTAGTGGTCCAGGCCCCTGGAGACTGGGGAAGGACAAGGCTGTAAGTATTGGGGGATAGGCTGAGAGCTGTTTTATGCAGCAGAGCTCTGAGGACTATTGGCCTAAGGCTTTGGACCTCAGCCTAGTGACAAGGGCCCTTCACAGTGTACTTCAAATAGAGCCTTTCAAGCAGAGCCTCTGAGACCTGTGGGCCTGGAAGATCTTTCTTAATCCCAATACAGGGCAAATCATCCATCTCTAGGAGGACCTAGTCTCCATTACAATGGCCATCAGTGCCCCTAAGGACCTAGGGTATGCCACTTCTTCCACATGTTGAGACCCTGGCCCTTGAGTCTGCCAGCTCTTCTGGAAGACTCCCCGAAGACAGTGACTCATCTCCAGATGTCCAGCCAGCCTCTTGGTGTCCCTGTCCTTCTCCACTCCAGCCCAGGGAGAGAGGAGACCTTCCTGTACTGAGGAGCTTAGAGCCTGGTAGGGTGGGGGTGGGGGTGGGAGGTGGCCCTGATAGGTCAGAAACAGGAGCAGAAAACTTATTCAATTATTTTTATTTTGTCAGGCCTGGAGCAGGCCTCAGATGGACAGGAGAACTCAGAGATGGACACATTTCAGGAGAATGCCGAACCCATTGGCATTAACGCAGGCAAGCTTGTAAGGTGAGGACCAGGAGGGGCATCATGGGGTCTGTCACAGAACCCTGAGGGAAATCAGCAGCAGGAGGAAGCTCTGTGAAAACACCAAGGTTGTGCATGTCCTAGGCTTGTGGGCAGTGCTCAGAGAAGTGAAGTCACTCAAAGCAGGAGGTTTTCCCTGAGGAGGAGCAGAAAAAGGATCAGGGTTGGGCAAGGTCTCTGCTTCCCACTGATCCAATTGGAGAAGTAGATGAGCCTGGTGAAGATACTGGAGCTTATGGGCTCATGGCAGGCCAGGCACCAGCTGGACAGTCCCATGAGAAACCAGGTACTGTTCAGCTTGCAGACGAGAAGACCCCAGAATCTCCCTGAGGAAAAAGAGGGCATAAGTCATGGGAGTAAGACAGAGAGGGACACATATTATTTAGTCAGTGTGAAGAGGCTACCCCTGTCCTCTACCAGAGGGGAGTTTAGGAGGTCTCATGTCAAGGTGGGGCTGTAAGTAAGTTGTTCTCATCAGAACCACCTGGGTGATTTGAAAAATCCAGACACAGAGAATGGGAAGGTCCAACATGACAGAACAGGTAAACACTATGCCTGCTGCCTCTCAGAATCACATTGAAATCACAACTAGATTATAGAACAATCAACTTCAAGAATCATTTGAAGACCAACTAAACAGAACATCTATAACTATGGATATAAAGAAGAGGCCACATTGAGACTGAGAGGAGGGGCAGAGATGTGAAACTTCTGAGGCTTACCTCAAACCCACAGGGAATAGTTGAGCACTGGAAGCTCACCTCAGTGGCAGAGGTCCCACTTGAAGAAGAAGGGATTCCAGCCCAACACCAGGCTCCCAGCCCAGAGGTCCTGTGCTAGGAAGAGGAGTCCCCACAACATCTGGCATTGAAAATCAGCGAGGACTCTGTCTGTCAGTCCCAGTGAGATGGAAGGCAGCTGGAAACCTAGACATCCTCTTAAAAGGCCCGCGCATAGACTCACTCACTTGCAAACACTCACCTGGGTTCTGGTCGAGGGGTAGCAACTTGAGAGGCACCAGAGACATATAGGGAAAGACTGAGTTGTGTGGCTTTGAGGCAAGGGCTGCAAGGACAGCCGCAATTGTCCCTGTGTGGTGCCTGACTCATGCGTAGCCTACAGGAGGGTATCATCATTTCTATGTTGAAACCTTCCCCCAAGGGCCAAATCTGAGACTGCAGTGGTCTGGTAAAATCATTGTGTGTGCACCACTTTGGGTCCCTGCCACACCTGGCTTGCACTGCATCACTGGGGACACTCTTGGCTTCTGGGCAGCCAGCCCTGCCCAATAAGCTACAGAAAACTTTTATAGCAGCAGACATCCCACAGTTGCCTAGGGAGCTTTTGGTGGTAGGGAGTCAGCCATAGCTTGCACTACAGCTTCTCTTGGCTGGCTCTCAGGTCCAGCACAGGTAGCAACTAACCACATATAGCTTTGTAGCTACTACCAGGTGACCCTGGGCTTATCACAGGCAAGGCTGAAATTGCCCTGCATTGGAGCCACTACCAGGAGACACCAGAAACAATATACCCAGAGGCTGGCTTCAGACCACACCAGAGCACTACCAAAAGGTAACCTCAAAAGGTACAAGAGTCCACAGGGGTGAATTGCCTCCTGAGGCATCAGCCCCTACACAGCAGTTCATACACTGTAGGCATAGCCATTCCTCACAGCCAGTCAGCCTGAGAGTCAATCCCACCCACTGATGTGCCAAAAGCAATCAAGGCTCAACTATAACATGAGAAAACAAACAGCACACACAAGGGACACTCCTGAAACACACACACACAGGTGATCAGGGAGACTGTGCCACTGGACCACACAGGACACATAAGCCCACCTGGAAAAGCCTGATAGACATAGGAGATCTACATAATGCATAGAAGCAAACACAGAGAGGCAGCCAGAATGAGGAAAAAAACAAGCAAAAAAATATGTCCAAAATTAAGAACGGGAGAAAAGTCCAGAAATGGAATGAAATGAAATGGAGGCAACCAACCTATCAGACAGTTTAAAACTCTGGTTATAGAAATGCTTAATGAACTTAGTGACAACATCAACAAAGAGATAGTAAGCATAAAGAAGGACATAGAAATCATAAAAAAGAATCAGTCAGACATAAGGAATACAATAACCGAAATGAAGAATACATTAGAAAAAAATCAACAGCAGATTAGTTGAAGCAGAGGATTTATTCAGCGATTTAAAAGACAAGGTAGCATAAAACACCCAGTTGGAACAACAACAAAAGAAAAAGAAAAAAGAAAAAAACAGTTGTTTTAGAGACCTGTTGGACAACCTCAAGCATAACAACATTCACATCACAGGAGTACCAAAAGGAGAAGAGAGGGGTCAAGGGATCGAGAACCTATTTGAAGAAATAATGACTGAAAGCTTTCATAACCTGGCAAAGGAAACAGACATACAAGCCCAGGAAGGACAGAGAGTCCTAAACAGACCAAACCCAAACAGGCCCACACCAACACATGTAATTAAAATGGCAAAGGTTAAACACAAAGAAAATTGGAAAAGTAACGAGAAAGACAACTGGTTACTCACAAGGAAGCTCCCATAAGACTATAGGCTGATTTCTCAACAGCAAATTTGCAGGCCAGAAGGGAATGGAAATATTCAAAGTGATGAAAAACAAGGGCCTACAACCAAGACTGCTCTACCCAGTAAGACTATCACTTAAAATTGAAGGCGAGATAAAGAGCTTCCAAGACAAGAAAAAGCTAAAGGAATTCATTACCACCAAGCCAGTATTACAAGAAATGTTAAAAGGACTTCTTTATGAAGAAGTGGGGAAACAAATTAACAAGCAAAAGAAAATAAAAAATGTGAATAATAAAATGGCTTTAACCATGTACCTATCAATAATCACTTTAAATATAAATGGATTAAATGCTCCAATCAAAAGACACAGGGTATCTCCATGGATTAGAAAACAAGACCCATGCATATGCTGTCTACAAGAGACCCACCTCAGATTGAAAGACACACACTGACTGAAAGTAAAGGAATGGAAAAAGATATTTCACACAAATGGAAACAAGAAAAAAGCTGGAGTAGCAATACTTACATTGGACAAAATAGATTTTAAAAAGAAAACTATAATAAGAGACAAAGAAGGACATTACATAACGATAAAGGGGTCAATCCAGCAAGAGGACATCACCCTACTAAACATTTTTGCACCCAACATAGGAGCACCTAAATATATAAAACAAATATTGACCAACATAAAGGCAGAGATTAACAATAGCACAATTCATAGTAGGGGTATTTAACACCCCACTGACACCAATGGACAGATTGTCCAGACAGAAAATCAACACAGAAACAGTGGCCTTAAATGGCACACTAGACCAGATGGATTTAATTGATATTTTTAGAGAATTTCACCCGAAAGCAGCAGAATATACATGGAACATTTTCCAGAATAGACCACATGTTAGGCCACAAAACGAGTCTTAATAAATTTCAGGGGCTTGCAAACTGGGATTGCAAATTGGAAAACAGTATAAAGGTTCCTCAAAAGATTAAAAATAGAACTACCATATTTTCCCATGTATAAGATGCACCCTTTATTGAAAAATTTGGGGTCTAAAAACTGGGTGCGTCTTATACAGTGGTTGTAGATTTCAAATGCCGTAGATGGAACTGAGGACGAGGCAACATATGAAGACAGTGATTCGTCATCAGACACAGATAAGGACAAGCTAATTGTTGGGAGTTTTGACAGTGATGAGGAGTTGTATGAATTTTATGATGAATAAAACTTGAGTTCAATAACTTTGTGTAATACATTTTTTTCAAATTTTGGGCCCCAAAATTAAGGTGCGTCTTATACATGGGAGCGTTTTATACATGGGGAAATCTATGATCCAGCAATTCCACTTCTGGGTATTTATCCACAGAAATCCAAAACACTAATTTGAAAAGATTTATGCGCCCTTATGTTTACTACAGCATTATTTACAATAGCCAAGATATGGAAACAGCCAAAATGCCCATCAGTAAACAGATAAAGAAAGTGTGGTACAGAGGCCGGCCAGGTGGCTCAGTTGGTTAAGAGCACGAGCTCTGAGCAACAGTGTCGCTGGTTTGATTCCTACATGGGCCAGTGTGCTGCGTCCAAGCTGAGCTGCCGCTGAGCTGCCAATGGGTGGCCGAATGGTTTAGCTTGTGAGAGTGCATGCTCTTAGCAGCAAGGTTGCTGGTTCGACTCCCACATGGGATGGTGGGCTGCGCCCTTCTCCCTCTCCCCAACTAGATTGAAAACGTTGACTGGACTTGGAGCTGAACCCTCCACAACTAAGATTGAAGGACAACAACTTGGCTTGGAGCTGATGAGTCCTGGAAAAACACAATGTTCCCCTTCCCTAATTCCCCAATAAAATCTTAAAAAAAAAAGATGCAGTACATTTATAAATGGAGTATTACTCTGTCATAAAAAAATAAATGAAATCTTACCATTTGCAACAACATAGATGGACCTAGAGGATATTATGCTAAGTGAAATATGTCAGACTGAGAAAGACAAATACCATATGATCTCCCTTACATGTGGAATCTAAAGAACAAAATAAATGAACAAACAAAACAGAAATAGACTCATAGATATAGAGAACAAATGGATGGTTACTAGATGGGTGGGAGTTTGGGAGGCCGGGTGAGAAAGGTGAGGGATTAAGAAGTACAAATTGGTAGTTACAAAGTAGTTACAGAGATGTAAAGTACAGTATGGGGAATATAGTCAATAATATTGTAAAAACTATGTATAGTGTCAATGGGTACTAGACTTATTGGGCAAACCACTTCATAAATTATATAAACCACTACACCTGAAACTAATATAAAATAATATTGATTGTCAACTATAATTTAAGAATATAGTCACATGATATAAAATACAGCAGAGGGAATATAGTAAATAATATTGCAATAACTATGTACAGTGTCAGA